GTAAGTTTTAATGTTTTTTTTACTTAATGTTTCTTACATTGTACATATTCACCTTTATATTTTTATATTTTATTTTAATAAAACATGCAAGTAAACAAAACATATTGCAACTGTAATTGTTACTTTTTTTTCTTTATTACTTACCCAGGTGGATGCTAACATGTTGCTAGCCTGGTTAGGCTGTTGCAATGGCATCCCGGTTGGTTGCTAAGGTGTTGCTAGGCCATTGATAAACCATGCCATATTATCCCAGGTGGTTTGTAATTTATTGGTCGGCCTATATCCTAGGAGTTTGCTAATGTGTTGTTAGGTCATGCTATGTAATCCCAGGTGGATTTTGAGGTGGCGCTAGGTGCTTAATGTTAAATTCATGTTCATGTTACATTTTCAACCTTGTTCATGCTAAAAGACCACATACAGCTGTAGGAATGACAGTTGTAAGTTGTCTGTCGCCAGATAGTGGCCAGGCTGATCAAGGTCATAAGGAGTGTGTAACTTTTCTGTTTATTCCACTTTTGGGTGAAGGGGTCTTGGAACTTCTTCTAAAAAGCATTATAGGGCCCAGGAAAGAGTAGTCCAACAAAACGCCAGACATAACCATAAGTCCTGGACCATATAAGAACTTTTTCTGACTGTTTGACCTCTTTCTCTGACCTGGTAAGGATCATGGCCTAGACTGAGGCCCAGGATTCAATAGGAAAAAACATGAGCATCACAATTTCACAAAAAAAAAGATAATTTTACAGGGTATGTATGAATACAATACTGTATTCATGTCATAAATGTATAGCTTTAAATTTAATATTTAATGCATATGCTATATTTTACCTAATAAACAACAACCACAAGCAAAATCTATTGGTCAAATATAAGTGATATTATCACTTTGTATATTTTACAAAAACGTCTAGTTTTTTGTATACTATATAAAGTGAAACAGAGCAGAAGCTGATTTGAAGTGTCTGATATTTGAATTGATGTATAATATCTTTAATTCAAATGAATTATTGTTTTACTTTGCTTTTTTTCGATCAAAGTATTTTTGAGTTTTTGAGTATCTCCTATGTTCTTGAGTATCTCCTAGGTACTTCTGTTCTGAGATCATTCTATGGTTCTCACTGTGGTCACGTCTGTCCAGTCCCTTTGTAATGTAACCTTTACTTTGTATTTTTAGCATCTCTCTCTCTCTCTGCCTTATACTCATGTCAACACTCAATTCTCATTAAGACTTTTGTACAGATTTTGTGTACTCTCCTTTAATTCAGGATTATGTACAAACATTGATTGTGCAATTTTGTCAACATAGTGTAGATCATAACATAAACCTTATAAATACGTCTGAATAGGTCTAATTCTTCTACTGTGAGACTGTGAACGAATTTGGTAGAATGTTCCATAAATGAAGCTATATATGGAACACAGACCATATCAGACTACTAGATTACTCAAAGCTTAAAAAAATCCCACACCCCCACCCCACTTTCCCAGCAGACACATACTTTACTCCATGTGCGTGTGTGTATTGCGGAACTCAACACCACAAAAGAAGGAAACAGTAAGTGTTCTCACAGCTCAGAGGATACAATGACACTGTGTGGTTTGGAGTGTGTCACAAAGCTGCTTATGAAGTCTTTAAATGTCAGACGAGTTCTACCCGAATAGACAGTCTGAGCTGCACGGACATTAGAGTGGGTTAGACTCCAGTGAAGAGCTGCTGAGAGAGCTGTGTACTCAGTGTGGTATACAGGGCTAGTGTAGTGCTGGGTGTGGAGCTGTCAGTGTGCTGTGAACTCAGTGTTGTTTTACTAGTGAGGATGTTGCTGACTTTCTATCTTCTCTTCATTGGGCTTCATGTCTCTGAAGGTGAGTCTGACAATTTCTCTTCATATTCATAACATTGTAAATGTATCTTCCTATCACAATTTCTACTGGTGAAACATAATGTTTCTTCTGTTTCTCATAATATAACTGTGGTGTATACAAGTACACCAGTTAAATATACTTACATTTTATACAATGTACAGATAATTATCTTCTGGTAAATGTAAGGAAAATAAAACTTATGGTTACTGACTTCAAACAAACCACAAGACCACAGTTTCTGTTGAAACTGACGTGGACACACTCTGCTCATTTTCATCTGCATTTCATTTCTTACTTTTTCACTGAGATACTCAAGATAGTTTGCTAAAAGAAAACTGGGATAATTTTATTTTAAATGTGACATTATCATCACAGTGGATATGCTACAACCTTATGCTAGCTAAGTGAGTTATGATCAGCATTTCTTACTGTTCACCTGCTCAGATATGTCATCATCCTTCTCAAGTAGCTTTTTCTTTCTTGGTGGCACCGTTGTGTTTGTTCTTGCAGCTGCAATCCATCTTCACATAATCCACAAACCTACTACACTGCTAATGCAGAAAAAAAGTCAATGCAAAGCAGTGTGTTGAATTTGATACTTTAGTCTTTTAATGGCTGATGTTAGTGTAAGGGCCCGGCCTGCACCGCCAGCTGCCAGCAGAGGCACCTTGCCGCTGCCACCCTCTGCTTTTTGGCGCTGGCTGGGCACCCAAAAAGCAGAGGGTGGCAGCGGCAACGTGCTTAGCCTGCGCCACTGACTGCAAACAGAGGACGATGGTGGCAAACTCCGATTCCCAGAAGCCCTCGGGCTCATTAGGCCTAACTTGACACACTTGTGGACACCTCTACTTAAGGCTGTGGCAAACAGCAGGCCTTTGTCACACCTTTGTAGAGGGGTGACTGGTAGGGTACTTAGCCCAGGTGGGTATTTAAATTAAAAGAAAAGCAAAGGGAAAAGAAAAGAGGGCTGTAAAAAACAAAAGAGACTAATTACCCCAAAACTACCTAAAAACCACAAGAAGGCTTGAGCTGCAAACGGCTCTAAGCCATACAAAAGGTGTTTGCTCCACTAAGAGCGAACAAGTGAAACATAGTCTGCCTTCCCCTCAAAATTACAGAGGAAGTAATATTTGTTTTCTGATTTATCTTTTATTTCACGTTTTTAGTTCAGCCTTTGTTTGAGCATGCTGCTTTCAGCGTCCCCTTTGTTTGCCCTTTTTCCCGACTTTTTATTTCCTGTTCCTGGAGGAGTTTTTCCCATTGCCACCTCTGCTTCCCAGTGGTGCAGTGGTAACTCCACGGACTACCAATGTGTACATTGGCGGTTTGAGCCTGGTTCTGGGTCACCTCAACTCCAATGAGCCAAATTCAAATTCCATTGCTTCAATACATTTTTTAAGACCTTTTCTCACAGGTTTTCCTGCCTCCCTGCCGTTCCGTAACAGTTAATCTTAGGTAGTGTAGCTGTTACATGCAAGCACCTGTACATGCATCTGAATTATACATTATCTCATAGTAACTAGCCCAAAATGCTACCAGCCCACTGGGAATTCTCCTGACTGTCCTGGCTCCCAGGGATCAGGTGCTGGCCTAACGTTGCCTCTCTCCACAGCCAGGTACTGTCTAGAAGCAGGTAGCATGCAACAGTCTCACCAGCATGGATTCATTCCAGCTCACTAAATCCTCATTGATGCACATTTTTTGTGTGGAGCTATTAGCCTAAGCTACTTTTTCTCCATGTCTGCTAGAAACTAACATTAGCTTAGCGGGAAGGCAGACCCGGAACCACAGACGTCCTTTGTAGTTCATTGAAGCCTCACTGACACAAGTTTAGAGAATGAAGACAGATCTGAGTGGGTAAATCTGGGTTTGTCTGTGTGATGCTTTAGCTTCCTTGTTAGCATCAGAGGCTAATGACAGCTTAGTCAGAAGGCTAAGCAAACCAGCCTTTGTGGCTCACTGATGTTGCACTGAGCCACGTTTTGATAGTAAAGAGTCTAATCTGAGGGAGTGAAATCGAGTGACTGATGTCAGAGTGATAAAGTCAGAGGGCCAGATTCATAAAATGCTGAAAAGGTGCCAAATGTACAAAGATGTCTACAGCAAATAGCACACACATTCATAAACAAGGATCACTGGTGTTTTAGCGCTTGCATGATGTGAAGTGTGACCACAATACTATATGATTAAAACATGGAAGTAATGATTCATAACATGACACAATCCAGCTAAAAACAGCATCTGAAATTTCAAATGTTTTATGATGAAGTAAAAATGAGTGATTTTTTTTAAAACTTAATTTATGACTTTAGGAGTGCTTTGAACTTTATTGATTTATTTCCTCATATCTCTGATATGAGACAAAGAGAGTGTGTGATTTACTTTAATCTTACTGATGTGTGTTTCTGCAGGCTGCACTGTGATAAACATTGGTAAGACATTGCCTATCACAGCATATACAGGAGGGTCAGTTCTGCTGCCATGCTACTGCTCTGACCTACACACCAAACCTGAGGGATTCAGCTGGAGGAAACTCAACACAAAAGGAGATGCATGGGAAGATATATACAGTGAGAGTGGTCAGTACAGAAACAGAGTTCAGCTGGTTAATGGTCACTCTCCAGGAAATCTTTCTCTACTCATATCACACCTGACTGAAAAGGATGGAGGAGAGTACCAGTGTTATGTTGAAGGCCGTGGACACGTCTACAGTACACTCACTGTTGAAGGTAAGAAGTATATTTGGATGTTTACTTTGCACAAAACAAATCTTATACATAAACATAAAGATGTAGAGAAACAGCTCTATGACGTTTTGTTAGCTGTTCTCGTTAGTGTGTGGCAGTACTCAGTGAAGTTCTGCTGACAGAGTTCTGTAGTGAGGATGTGTGACATTAGGTGTGTATAGTGGTTAGAGTGTGTTGTGAAGTCAGTGTGAAGTCTGATTGTTTTATTATTAATAATTTAAATGCCAACATAACATAATGTGACATATGCCTGATTAAATTCTAATGCATTTTACTTTAATCTGTATTGTACTGTGAACTACTGTACATGCTCCTTCTCTCTCTGCATAAGGCCCAGCTAAAACTACATCTACTGCAGTGGTCAATGGACTAACCACTATTTTAGGCACAATGTCCCCTCCAGTGACTGGCACTCTGACTCCAGCTGAAAGTAAGATATTACAGCTTTGTTACGTCATTACATTTCTTTGTTACATTAGGGTCTTTAATGTTCCCCAGACTGTAACACTTCTTGTTAAATTGAAAAATTAAAATTTTCGTTCCACCTCAAAAAGTGCAGCAGTTCCATGCAAGTGCCTGTACATGTTTCCGAATGCAACGGCTACATCATGTAACGTGGGAGACAAGATGAAGCTCACTTCAGCTCCATCTAATCTCTGTCCAATCTACAAAACTCACTTATGAGCAAACTGAGGCTGCACCGCTTGAGGTGGAGGCAGCAGGTTTAAACCCTAAATTACTACAGATATATACACTTGGATGTCTAAGTATTTGAAAGTGTACACATTAGCTCATGGTAACAGCCCAAAATGCTACCAGCCCACTGGGAATTCTCCTGACTGATTACCCACAGTGGGAGAGTCACTATTGCAGAGTCTTAACAGTATGAATATCTTGACATGGAGATTGATAACCAACTGAAATTTGCAGATTGTGTGGCATTAAAGGCAAAACTGAGCAGCAAAGATTTTGTTTTATTTTTCCACATATGTTGTCTGGGTTTAATGTCAATTTTGCAACTTTTCTAAAACTCTGTACTTCAGAGTGCGGTTTTGGCCTTGTGTGTGTTCGGGAACATGTGTGTTAAAGACCGAAACAAACTTCAGTGATTAAGCAAAACACCAGGTAGGATTATGGGAACTGAGTTGATTAGTGGGGTCCTATGTAGCAGCTAAGTATTGTACATTATGAATGAGCTAGATACTCACTTTGGTCCAGTATAGTAAAATAGACTAATGAGAGAATGTGCTAGGCATGAACAACAACCACGAGAAGCAGCATGGGCCCACACTGCTGACACCAAACCAGTGTCTGGTGGCTATGGGCAGCACGAGAACCTTTAGCCAAAAGGGAGAGAGAAAACACAAATTCTGTAATGCACTATAACAAGGTTCTGGTATATTTTTAGTGTATAACATCCAGACCCATCATAACGACTGTTGCCTACTTAGCTTAAATGAAGCAGCACACACACTTTAACATTCATTTAGAAATACTTATGTAAGCTAACAGGAAACTAAGTAGTTTCCGTTGTTGTTGTTGTTGTGTTCCCACTTCTTTCATTGTGTCTTTGACAGCCAAACAATGCTGCACTTGGTGTGGGTCTTTAATATATATATATGACATCATGTATATGTCAACATATATATAGATCTCTAAATTCAAAGTGTTGAGGTTTGATGATGCTTCTATGCCATTTGTAATGGTTTCTTAGGCGTAACAATAAAACAGAAGAACAATTAATAATTCATTATTCAAGGCGTATTATTTTTGTTACTTTTTTTTTTTTTACTTAAAAAAATGGTGCTTTATTTTCCTGAATTCATATATTTAAAAAAAAAGTCTAATCTCTGATATGAAGAGTGTGAGATTTACTTTTATCTTACTGGTTGTGTGTTTCTGCAGGCTGCACTGTGATAAACCTTGGTAAGACATTGCCTATCACAGCATACATAGGAGGGTCAGTTCTGCTGCCATGCTACTGCTCTGACCTACAGAACAAACCTGAGGGATTCAGCTGGAGGAAACTCAATACAAAAGGAGATGCATGGGAAGACATATCCAGTGAGAGTGGTCAGTACAGAAACAGAGTTCAGCTGGTTAATGGTCACTCTCCAGGAAATCTTTCTCTACTCATATCACACCTGACTGAAGAGGATGGAGGAGAGTACCAGTGTTATGTTGAAGGCCGTGGACACGTCTACAGTGCACTCACTGTTGAAGGTAAGAAGTATATTTGGATGTTTTCTTTGCACAAAACAAATCTTATACATAAACATAAAGATGTAGAGAAACAGCTCTATGACATTTTGTTAGCTGTGCATTAGAAATGCTCTGAGTTCTCATTATTGTGTGGCAGTACTCAGTGAAGTTCTGCTGAGAGAGTTCTGTAGTGAGGATGTGTGACATTAGGTGTGTATAGTGGTTAGAGTGTGTTGTGAAGTCAGTGCGAAGTCTGATTGTTTTATTATTAATAATTTAAATGCCAACATAACATAATGTGACATGCCTAATTCTAATGTATTTTACTTTAATTTGTATTGTACTGTGAACTACTGCATAAGGCCCAGCTAAAACTACATCTACTGCAGTGGTCAACGGACTAACCACTATTTTAGGCACAGTGTCCGAATGCAACGGCTACATCATGTAACGTGGGAGACAAGAAGCAGCTAACTTCAGCTCCATCTAATCTCTGTCCTCTCTAGAAAACTCACTTATGAGCAAACTGAGGCTGCACCGCTTGAGGTGGAGGCAGCAGGTTTAGACCCTAAATTACTACAGATATATACACTTGGATGTCTAAGTATTTGAAAGTGTACACATTAGCTCATGGTAACTGGCCCAAAATGCTACCAGCCCACTGGGAATTCTCCTGACTGATTACCCACAGTGGGAGAGTCACTATTGCAGAGTCTTAACAATATGAATATCTTGACATGGAGATTGATAACCAACTGAAATTTGCAGATTGTGTGGCATTAAAGGCAAAACTGAGCAGCAAAGATTTTGTTTTATTTTTCCACATATGTTGCCTGGGTTTAATGTCAATTCTGCAACTTTTCTAAAACTCTGTACTTCAGAGTGCGGTTTTGGCCTTGTGTGTGTTCGGGAACATGTGTGTTAAAGACCGAAACAAACTTCAGTAATTAAGCAAAACACCAGGTAGGATTATGGGAACTGAGTTGATTAGTGGAGTCCTATGTAGCAGCTAAGTATTGTACATTATGAATGAGCTAGATACTCACTTTGGTCCAGTATAGTAAAATAGACTAATGAGAGAATGTGCTAGGCACGAACAACAACCACGAGAAGCAGCATGGGCCCACACTGCTGACACCAAACCAGTGTCTGGTGGCTATGGGCAGCATGAGAACCTTAGCCAAAAGGGAGAGAGTAAACACAAATTCTGTAATGCACTATAACAAGGTTCTGGTATATTTTTAGTGTATAACATCCAGACCCATCATAACGACTGTTGTCTACTTAGCTTAAATGAAGCAGCACACACACTTTAACATTCATTTAGAAATACTTATGTAAGCTAACAGGAAACTAAGTAGTTTCTGTTGTTGTTTTCATAGTCTTTCATTGTGTCTTCGACAGCCAAACAATGATGCACTTGGTGTGGGTCTTTAATATATATGACATCATTTATATGTCAACATTGATTGGCTCTTGCCTTGGACAGCAGTGATGCAGCATTGAAAAGACACCTCTGTGCTAATCTTTCTTTCTGATTATTATAGTTACAGTGGGAGCTTAATGTATTTCCCTCTGTCTCATCTGTTCAGTCAAAATGGAGTTGGAAGGGGTGAGGTAAAGAAACGAGGCACTGAGGGGGAGTTTACAATATTTTACAATAACCATTTGTAATGGTTTCTTAGGCGTAACAATAAAACAGAAGAACAATTAACAATTCATTATTCAAGGCGTATTATTTTTGTTACTTATTTTTTACTTTAGGAGTAAAAAATGGAGCTTTATCACTTTTTTTTCCTGAATTCATATATTTCAAAAAAAGGCTAATCTCTGATATGAAGAGTGTGTGATTTACTTTTTCTTACTGATGTGTGTTTCTGCAGGCTGCACTGTGATAAACCTTGGTAAGACATTGCCTATCACAGCATACATAGGAGGGTCAGTACTGCTGCCCTGCTACTGCACTGACCTACACATCACACCTGAGGGATTCACCTGGAGGAAACTCAACACAAATGGAGACGCATGGGAAGATATATCCAGTGAGAGTGGTCAGTACAGAAACAGAGTTCAGCTGGTTAATGGTCACTCTCCAGGAAATCTTTCTCTACTCATATCACACCTGACTGAAGAGGATGGAGGAGAGTACCAGTGTTATGTTGAAAGGCGTGGACACGTCTACAGTACACTCACTGTTAAAAGTAAGAAGTATATGTCGATTTTTCTTTGTGAAAGCAAATCTCATTAATAAATGTAAACATGTAGAGAAACAGTTCTACAAATCTTCTTTTCTCTACATTAGAAATGTTTCAAGCTCATCAGTGTGTGGTGGTCTTCAGTGAAGTTCTGCTGAGAGTTCTGTAGTGAGGGTGTGTGTACAGTAGGTGTGTGTGGATAGTGGTTAGAGTGTGTTGTGAAGTCAGTTTTGTTTAAGTAGTGACTGTAGAGCTGTTCATATTTCTACTGATTGTGTTTCATGTCAAAGAAGATATCTGTATATTTTATTTTTGTTGTTGCTCATGAAATGTAATTGTAAGTGTCAGCTAATTACATTGATTTGTTCTGATTTTTTTTTCATTATTGTAGATTTTATATTTTCTTACTGATGCATTTCTGCAGGCTGCACTCTTATAAAGAACAAAATGACACTGAGAATCACAGCACATACAGGACAGTCAGTACCGCTGCCCTGCTCCTGCACTGACCTACACCCTAAACCTGAGACGCTCACCTGCATGAACTACTGCGCATGCTCCTACAATGACCATAAACCCTTCTCTCTCTACAGAAGGCCCAACTAAAACTACGGAATCTACTGCAGTGGTCAACAGACTAACCACTCCAAGTATTTTAGGCACAGTGTCCTCTCCAGTGACTAGCACTCCAGCTGAAAGTAAGATATTACAGCTTTATTACATTATAGTTAAGAGCCTTTAACATGTTCTCCAGACTGTAACACTTCTTGTTTCAGAACCTCCACAGTATTTGCCATTCGTCCCCTTTGCCTTGGTCACTGTGATCTTTCTCCACATTATAGTAGCTGTGGTTTATCACACCAAGAGAAACAAAGGTACAAACTACACAATCAAGCTGTTGTAATACTAATTTTTGTCTTTGTGTGAAATAACATCTTTCTTGAAAACATTTCTATCAGATCCTGCCAGAGTTCACCATAGCGGTGCTGATGTAGATGGAGTGGTGAGTCTGGAGTAGTGCAGTTCTGCAACACTGGCCTGATTTTCTGCATATGGTAGTGAAAACGTCAACACATCTTAAATGTTTATTTAGCACCACATTACAACAACACTAGCCTTATAAACAGTTTATGAATGGTTTAAAATTAGTTTAGTAATGGATATTAAAACTATCATAAACACTTTTTAAAACATTTCTAAGCAGCAAGTTATGAAACATGAAGACAAACTTCGAGTGACTTTTTGCTTACCAGATAGTGAGCCAACATTCATCTATGCTGTTCACCCTTAGATCTTGCTGGTCAATGATCTTACTTTGTTTTTGTCCATCAGTCAGCATTAAACCTCTCAGCCTTATATAATAAAATCCTTCAGATAAAACAGCTCACTGGTGCCCTTTTTATTCATGTGTTGTAATTGATTATTCAGGATTTTAAGATGTTTATGACCAAATTCATTCCCATTAATGAACTGCTTTCAAACCATCCATAAACCATTTACTTTCATAGGTATTGTCTTATTGTGAAGTGGTACCTGTTTATTGCATATTATATGTTTACTGCAGAAGATGTTCACATATAGAAACCAAAAATATAACATTAAAACCATCTGAAGCTTTTCACTGTTTGTTTATTTATCCTGTGTGTGAAGTGCTTTCAGTCACAAGCTAAGTGGTTATTTACTTTAATGCTGTAGGCTATACTGTGTAATAAAGTGTGATGATGTGAGTTTAGAATGTAGTTATGACTTAAATGTACAGCTTTACATTTTATAATTAATGTGCATGTCGTATTGTATTTAACAAACAACAACCAAGTGAGCAAAAAACTATAAATTTGTATATTTTACCAATATTATCTAGTTTTTTGGCACACTGTAAAAAGTTGGACATGGCAGGAGCTGATTTGAATTGTCCTTGATATTTGGATTGATAATGTATGAAATATTATATTACTTTGCTTTTATTTTAAAGTATTTGAGTTTAATAAAACCATCTCCTATGCACTTCTGTGCTGAGAGCATTCTATAGTCCTCACAGTGGTCACATTGATCCTTCATGACTATTTTTAAATGCATGCATTTGTGACAGACTTGTAACTCTGTGCATATAACATCCCTTTTGGTTGTGATTATGATTTTCAGCTACCAGATATGATCTAATTTGCTATAGTGGCTCGATATATAATTTATAGGCATTATATATAGACAGCTCTCACTCAGTCACACAGACTTTTTAACCAGAAGTGTGGCATGATCCGAGAGCCACTTTGCATGGCCCCACGCTCTAAACTCCCCACGTAGCATAGTGCTTGTGGTGGGTGCCACAATATTTAGCCTTTTGTTATCTCAGTTAATGTCTTGGGTTTAAATAATTAATAACATAATCCTTAAAATATCTAAGGTTTGAATACTTAATTGTAATTCTTCTACTGTGGGACTAGAGGTTGAATGCATTTGGTAGATTGGTCCATATATGGAACTATATATAGAACACAGACTACATCAGACTACTAGATCACTTGTTTTTAAAAAGGAGTCTCAGTGATCTGAGCTCAAGCGGTCAGTTTTAAATGCTTAAAAGCTTTCCAAACATTGAGCATAGCGTCATTTCAGGCAGGCCACAAAGTCAAGCTCCCCAGGCCCCAATCTCAAATCAACAACTGTTATCAGCTGATTGAAATCAGCTGACAGCTCAGCTGATCAACTGTTGCACATATGATTGGCTAAATTTGTCAGGGCGCTTATTTGTGTTGCTGTAGCCTGCCTCTCGCTTCCTCTGCAGCCATTTTGCAACCTGCCTCAACCCCAACTTCTCCATCATGCTGTGTCTGTCTCAATGTTATGTTGTTGTTGTCAATGTTGCCTGCTCTGTTCTGTACCCTGGGGGGTCTTTCTGATGCTCTCCTTGCTTTAGGCTTTCCATGTATGTACTTGGAAAGGCAGGAAGGTCCCAGATCAGAGTCATACAGCCAAATATAACTTGTTGCAAATGGAAATGGATAATATTTTCTTTAAAAAAGTGGTCCTGACTGAAATTGAGTTTGATTAGTTAGTGTTAAATGAGTCATTAAAATTGCATTAAACTCATCATACTTTCAACATAGTATATAGTTTAAGACTGAGTAGAAAGAAAATGAAAGATCCAGGCAGACATTTCAGGGTACTGTCATGCTTTGTTGAGAACAGGCTTTCAGCACCCTGTGCACGCAGACCAGACAACTCTGACATTTAACCACACCCCCACCCCATCCCCTAGCCTTTGTCCAGTACAGACACAGTACCTTGGACAGTGTGGTTGTGTGCACTGTGAAATGCTGCACCACAAGAGAGGAAACAGTAAGTGTTCTCATGACGCAAAGGATGCCATGTCACTGTGTGTGGTATAGATGCTGTCACAAAGCTGATGATGAAAACTCTAAAAGAGAGACGAGCTCCACCCAAACAGACAGTCTGAGCTGAACGGACATTAGAGTGGGTTAGACTCCAGTGAAGAGCTGCTGAGAGAGCTGTGTACTCAGTGTGGTATACAGGGCTAGTGTAGTGCTGGGTGTGGAGCTGTCAGTGTGCTGTGTACTCAGTGTGGTATACAGGGCTAGTGTAGTGCTGGGTGTGGAGCTGTCAGTGTGCTGTGAACTCAGTGTTGTTTTACTAGTGAGAATGTTGCTGACTTTCTATCTTCTCTTCATTGGGCTTCATGTCTCTGAAGGTGAGTATGACATTTTCTTATTCTTCATATTCAAAACATTGTAAATGTATCTTCCTATCAAAATGTCCATAGCCTGTGCATTTATGAGGCTGAAGGCCTTTACCATGAAATGCTGTAGTCTGGTGCCCAGCATATGGATTGAGTGCCACCCGACAATAATCACTCCTCAGGTCCAGCGAACTGAACCATGCATTGTCCAAGTCAATCCAAGGCATCATTAATGCATGAGTTGGGTTGGGTTTATTCACAGAATTGCTGCCCAAGGGCTACCAATGGCTCGATAACCCCTTTCTTTTATTTTCTATTCAGTATTTTATTTTTTTTTTTCACTAACTGGAGCCTAACAGGAGGAGCGTCACAGGTGTTAATGCACCAAATCGGTCCACGTACATTCTTTCTCTACAGCCTGTCTGAATGTTATTATAACGGCTTAAAAGCTCCCACAACTGATGTTTTTGCCCTTCAGCTAATCCTGACCCACTTCACTGCCATAACTCAGACATAGCTTCTTCTGTAGTGCAAACCTCCAATGTACTCACTGTTGCCAGCCTCTCTGCCATCTGTCACCTCTGTTGTCCATTGCACTGTCAACCTTGGTGAAAGTGCTGCTCGTGTACGCTGACCACAATTCTGGGATCCATCCAAAGACTCTTGTGCTACGTGTTCAGCTACTCTATCGCCAGAGGATTCAGCCAGAGTTGTGGCTCAATTGAACCAACAGCATGCCCCACCCCTGGAATTCCAGCCAATGGTTTTATCACTGTGTGTTTAGCTCGTCTAGTGACAAAGGTCTTACAGGGAATGAAAGCCTCATTGACCCTCCACCTTGACTCTGCCACTGTATTCCGCATGTCAATCTCCTTGCTTCTGCTCCAGGCTCAGTATAGCCCTCGTGATGGCAAAGCAGAAACTGAGAATATAGACCTCCAGTACAGGTGCAAGCCAGAATTTCTGTACTTGGTTCAAATGTCTAAGCACTGGTTCAAATGTCCCACTGGTAACGGAGCTGAGCTGGACGGTTGTAGCCTCCCAGTTGTCAAGCGTACCTCTCACAGTGTATGGAAGAACATCTGGTGGCAGCAAAGAGATTGTCGAGCCTGTGTAGATGAATGCAGGGAGCCTTACTTCATTAATGGAACATTCTATTCAAAGACTGTAGCCACGGTTGCTCTCTCTGGCAGCAGCAGTGATGCTGAGAGTTACTCCCTGATGGAGCTGAGTGTTCTTGTTTCCTGCTGGCTCCTGATGATCCTATCCCTCTCCTGCTCCCACTTCTTCTCAGTCTATCTGGAAGCAGCTTCTTGAAGGACAGCACCACTGGCATCTGGCCCAGCTGCATTGCTGAATGACCATCTGCAGCTACACTGAGCATAGCTTTCCTGGTAAAGCAAGGTAGCTGATTACATGCTAGCTCTGCTCTACTGCACCCCAGCTGGATGCAACACCATTCTGATGCTTTCACTTTTGTTTCACTTCCAGTTTTGCTTGTTTCTCTTTTGCTAGCATTTCTACACCATCTCTGCCACCAGCCACTGCGATGCTAGCTTGCTCGATGTCCTCTTTATTGCTAGCCATGCTGTGTCTTTTGTTGTCTTCACCGGCCACTGACACACCACGACTCCCTCCTTTTTTTTGGGTGGGTGGGCTGGGGGGGCGGTGTATGCCCATGTCCCAAAGCCTCTTTGTATGACCACTATAGCATACCATGCTTGCAAGCTCCAAAGGGAGAGAAGATGGTGGTGGTGGAATGCTGCAATATGCTACACCAGGACAAACGAGGTGGCTCACTAGTAATAAAACGGAAACTAGGGTCATTTTTCTCTTAAGTGTAACATAATCATGACAGCCAATTTGCTAGAAGTTAATACTTGTTAAGTAATATAATGTCAGCATTTCTTACTGCCCACCTGCTTGGATATGCCCTCGTCCTCTTTTAGCAGCTTTTTCAACCTTGTCTTATCGGTGCCTCCTTGTGTTTTTTTGCAGTTCTTGCTGCTGCTGTCCATCTTCACATGATTCACATACTTCACATTCACATTCAAAACTGTTGCTAAGGCAAAAATAGTAATGAAGCTCTGCGCATTGTGTTAGACAGTTGCACTATATTTGATTTTCTTTTTACTCGAGGCTGATGTTAGCTTCTTATTCAAATTTCCTTTCCACCATAAATAGTGCAGCAGTTACATGCAAGCACCCGTACAGGCATCTGAATGTAGCTGCTACATAATTTAAGGTGGAACAGACAGTGGAAATGAAAATATGAAGGTAGGTTCTGCTTCATCTAATCTCTATCCACTATATAAGACTCACTTACAATCAGCAAACCAGGAGGGGGCACAACGACTGGACTGAGTGGCTGAATTCATAGTTTGGCAATGCAATTAGCTGTAATGGTTGCGTTAATGTTTGTTGTGTTGACAATGATAGGGTGTTGTGTTAATACATGCCGGAGATGATTGGTCATGTGGACTATGAAGTGTTCGATTACTTGCACAATTATTCACATGCTGGTCATTGCTGATTGAGACTTTGACTCTGAGGAGGTATCAGATCTCTTCTCTAAGCCCAGTTACCTTGATGACTTACCCCACTCTCCCTGTAACCAGTCAGCAAGGTTCAGACGCGTGCGGATAAAACTGAGAAGAGTGGCTTTATTAACACAAGGCAGAGTCGTAGTCCAAGTACAGGCGTAGGTCAAAACCAGGAAACGATAGATGATCACGAATGTGATTATAATCACAGGACAAACAAATTTCAAAGGGCAAAAACGAAAGACAAGGTCGAAATAACAGGCCAAAAGGTTCAAAATCACAAATCCAGAATCCAGCAAAACTGGATGCCACTGCTAATCAGCCCAGTTTTATCAACCTTACACTGGTTACCAGTTAAATTTTGGATTGATTATAAAATTCTCTTACTGACTTACAAAGCACTGAACGGACTCGCCCTTCTGTACCTCAGTGAACTTCTCTCTCACTATGAACCATCACGCCTACTTGGATCACAAGGTGCTGGCTTACTATTAGTACCTAGAATTTATAAAGTTACATTAGGGGGGAGAGCTTTCTCATACAAAGCCCCCCGGCTTTGGAATAATCTTCCTGTTAATGTTCGGGACTCAGACACAGCCTCAGTGTTTAAGTCTAGGGTAAAAACTTACTTGTATAGTCAAGCCTTTGGTAATTAGTTTTCCCTGTCAGTTCTATACCTGCCAGAGTCTCTGCTGCTCTGCTAACACTGTAACCTGTGATCGGTCACCCATTACAGAACTGACTCTCTGTTTTTCCTTTCTTTTCTTTGCCGAGTTGAACAGCTGCCCATCCTGTGTGTTCTGATGCTGCTGCCTCTTCTGCCTTGATTGGGTGCCACTGCTGCCAGCCCTCTGGACTGGCTTACCAACATTTGAGCCTCCTGCTGTACAATGCCGTGCAAACCTCACCCTCACAATCTGACCCCACTGATACTACTGCTGTTGCTACATGAACTAATCAAAATGAATCATTTGAACTAATCAAATGAATCAATCACCCATTACAGAACTGACTCTCTGTGTTTTTCCTTTTTTTCTTTTCTTTGCCGAGTTGAACAGCTGCCCATCCTGTGCGTCTGATGCTGCCGCCTCTTCTGCCTTGATCGGTGCCACTGCTCGCCGTGCAAACCTCACCCTCATAACCTGACCCCACTGATGCTGCTGCTGCTGCATGAACTAAACTAATTAAATTATTCGTTTGCTCCACCTCTTTTCCCTGTTTTTGTACCATAATACTGTCGACCAGAGGAGGATGGATTCCCCCTCTGAGTCCTGGTTCCTCTCAAGGCTTCTTCCTGTTTCTCTTAGGGAGTTTTTCCTTGCCACTGTCGCCACTGGCGACGCTCATGGGGGCTCAGACCCGGATTTCTTTTTGTAATGCTGATTTCCTTGTAAAGCTGCTTTGTGACAACACCTGTTGTAAAAAGCGCTGTATAAATAAACTTTTCTTACTTACTTACAAAAGGGTCAGGCAAAAAGCAAGATCGGGGTCAACAAACAGAGTATAGCAATCGGAATAAATGCTCAGTAAGTTCTATAAAGAAGCAATACCTCGCAAATAACAAGCAGTGAAGCAGTGAAAATACATGTTATGATTTAGCGCAATGCATTAGTTATGATGCCTAGTCCGAAAGCAGCGCAGGCCTTGATGTTATCTTTTGCCTTTTCTTTTTTTTTTCTTTTCTTGTTTTTTAGTTTATGATTGTGAGAAATAATTAAAAGGGGGGGGGGAGGATGTAATGTTCAGATTGCTTCATCCTGAACGGGAGTTACAGCAGAATATTCAGGGCCTCTTTTGAGTGAATCTCTCTATATCATTCCAGATGACTGACATGTCTGTATATATATAGCACTGGGTCTGAGTGAATTAATTTCCACTACAAGGCCCAGATTCAAAGCCAGGTTTGCTGTGATGTTAAGCACAAATAGTGTGGTAGCAACAAATTCACTCATTCATAAAATTTTGCATGATGTAACGCATTGAGTGTAATTTTTTATTTTTTTATTTTTTTTTATTTTCATGTGCCGGTAGTGGTTCATAACATGACACAACCCTCCACAATTCCTGGTAAGATGATGATGTGGATTAAAGTATATTTTCTAAAATGTTTCTAAACATGTTTGGTCACACATGCAAATAATAATCAATTAGCACATACCCACATACTCAGCTAATTAACCAGAATATAAGCTGGTGGTTAAATAGAACATAAGCAGCAGACCCAAAGTTTTAGTATACAGTTCTATAACCTAAGAATAACACAGCTAGTTTGCATTGAAATCCCTGTAGTTACTGAAAAAAATAAACCTTAGTATGTAATAGGCCAGGGATTGAAACAGGTTAATTTACATTTCTTACTGAGCTTTAACTTGACAGCAGTAAGGAGTGCCTTTGTAGGCGAATTTAAGAATATATGCAAAAATCAAGAAAATGCCCTCTGACCCTAGAGAGTTAATGAATGCAATTGTTATTATTTATTTATTTATTTATTATTATTTTTTTTTACTTCATATTAAGTATCTATTAAGATAGTATCATGTTATTAACATTAAGGCATACATCAGTTAATGTTATTCCAAACCTAATACGAAAATAATACAAAAGAATATTTAACAATTTGCACTTCATTTTTTTTAGACTTTAGGAGTCTAATAAGTGATTTCCTGAATTTATGTATTTAAGTGTTTGAGAAATAGTATGAGACAAACAAATTGCGTAATTAACCATTTCTTACTGTGTGTTTCGGCAGGCTGCACTCTAGTAAACAATAATAAAACATTACCCAACACAGCACACACAGGAGGGTCAGTACTGCAAATCTCAGAAATAAGTAAAGACATAGAAAAACAGCTCTAAGAGGTTTTGTTAGCTCGGCATTAGAAATGCTCTAAGCTCATCAGTGTGTGGTGGTCTTCAGTGAAGCTCTGCTGAGAGAGTCCTGTAGTGAGGGTGTGTGTACAGTAGGTGTGTGTGAATTGTGGTTAGAGTGTGTTGTGAAGCCAGTGTTGGTTTACTAGTGACTATAGACCAGCAGTTTTTCTCCTAATTATGTTTCATGCCAAAAAAGACACAGTTAGAGTTCTGATTCTTTTATTTCTCTTTAAAAATGTAATGTTATGTGTAAGCCAACAAATATTTTCTACTTCCTTTTATGATTTATGTACCATTTCTTTCTGAAATGTGTTTCTGCAGGCTGCACACTGATTATCAATAAAAGAACATTGAGTGTCACAGCACATACAGGAGGGTCAGTACTGCTGCCCTGCTACTGCACTGACCTACACACTAAACCTGAGACATTCACCTGGAAAAAACGCAAGAGAAACACAAACACATGGGGAGTGATATCCAGTGAGAGTGGTCAGTACATGAATAGAGTTCAGCTCTAGTCCAGGAAATCTCTCTCTACTCATATCACACCTGACTGAAGAGGATGGAGGAGATTACAGGTGTTATCTTACAGAAAGTGAATACAAAAACATCAGGCTCACTGTTGAGGTAAAACACTGTTGGGACCTGTATTTATTCTCTCATTTCACTTTTATGTTTAACCTAAATTGACCAGGTTTCTCTATCTCTACACTTTAGCTTTGTTCTTTGTTTTTTACATACTGCATGCTGGGTATTGTAGTGAGAAAGCACTGACGAATAAAGACATAAAAAACAATCTAAAATCTTTGTTCATAGTGATGAGGCCGAGGGATATTACGTTGCACTACACAACAAATAACATATTAAACGCTAGTTTTATGAAAGAATGCCTCTTTATTGTTT